GGGTTTAAGACTAACTGTGGAAGTTTACTTTAGGACGCATGAAGACACAGAACGGCGAAGGCGTGGGCGGACGAGATGATCGGATCTCGGATTAAAAGCCGGAGCCAACACATCGACTCAAGGCAGGCCCCTTTTGAAATGAAAAAGACAAGCACCCCCCTTCTCTGACATTGGCCAAACCCAGCAAACTGGATCCCTCTTCTTTTTTCTCCCCCCCCCCCGGCCTGGATTATCATTCAATCCATATTGTACGCCTTCCGTTTTTTTAATCAGGAGGCCAGAGAGCCGAAGGGCTGGCAGTCGTCCTTGATTGAGTTTGGAACTTCCGGCATTAAGTAGATTATTAAATAAACCAAGGTGGGGCAACAAATTAAATGAGAGGCTGGATCTCTCTCTGTGGCAAGCTGAACGGTAGCCAGCCTATCTGCTCCCTTGGCCCCGCCACTTCAGAGGTTGAGTCAAACTCAAGGTTCAAATTCTGTTTGTGAGTAGAGTCTTCACTGCAGTACTGCAGTTGAACTAAACACTTTCCGATTGCTGCAGCAGGAACAGAAACAGTGGCCAGAGAGCAGGGGGAAAAAACCCAAACAGGTCCTTCCGCTCATCTTGGTTTCTTTTGAAGAGAAGGAATCACATGGGCTGGGCCCTGAAGAAGTGGCCATGGGGTCGAGGTTCGCTCAGATAGCTTCCCCGCAACAAAAACTAGCAGAACAGAATCGGAAGTCGCACGAACTCGACTTCCAGCTTGGTAAAAATTTGTTTTTTCAGTGGCTGAAAAGGCAAAAGCTGGGCAGCTTGCAATTTGTTTCAAAAAATAAGGGCCGAACGGAACAAGACGCTGAGCCTGTATCTGACGCAGCGCTCCCTCCAGCGGCAAAAAGGGTCTGATTGTTGTTGTTTCTAAACAGCAAAAAATGCAGTTGGGGTTTAAAACACCAACTTCCTTTGCAGTTCTCATTGCTGGGAGATGCATAACGAGCACATTGCATCACTGGAGTGAAAACCCTGTAAGGGTGTCACAAGTCCAAGATATCTCCTCACCCGGGGCAAAGGCACAAGGACCCCCATCCACCATGCTGGGAATCAAGTCCAGAGACACTCACTGCGCAGTTGGTTGTGACCCAGTGGAGGCGAGAGCGAGAATGATGCATTTCCCCGGACATTCCTCTTCAGCCCGAATCCCTATTTCTGGAGGATCCCAGGAGTAAGCATAGAAATGGGCTTGAGAGCCCCATGACCCATAGAAAAAGTTGACTCTCCAAACTTCAATCCATGCAAAGTTGAATTTAGAATCTAAATTCAACTTTTCATACACATGCCCATGTATAAAAGAACACTTTTTCCTAAAATAATTAGAGGAAAAATTGAGAGTTGTTTTATACACGGAAGTAAGCTGGGGGGAGGGATCAAAGCGCATTGATTCCTGCTTTCCCCCTCCACTTTCTTTGCAAAAAGCTGCTTTTCCTCTCCACTTTTTACAAAGAAAGTGGAGGGGGAAAAGCAGGAATCGCTTTCCCCCTCCACTTTCTTGCCAGGAAAGTGTTTTCCCCTCCACTTACGTTGCAAAATGCAGAGGGGGGAAAGCAGTTTGCTTGCCAGGAAAGTGTTTTCCCCTCCACTTCCGTTGCAAAATGTGGAGGGGGAGAACAGTTTGTTGCAAAAAAAAAAAGTGAAGGGGGAAGCAGGAATCAAAATGCTTTGATCCCTGCCTTCCCCCCTCCACTTTCTTGCACAGAAAGAAATTTTGGGTTAGCCCTGCCTTCCCCCCCTACTTTCTTGCAAAAATTTGGGTTAGAAAAGGTCTTATACATGGGGGCGTCTTATACACTGAAAAATACGGTATATATTTGCTACCGGTTAGGAAGCACAATATATTTTGGAGGGGAAAAAAACCTGTTGGTTGGCACCCCTCTGTGTGCATGTGTGTGTTGTTGTTGGCGTGCACGGATCAGCTGTGATTAAACAGGTTTCCCTTTAATTTGATTACACCCGATTAACAAAAGGTTGATCTGATTACGATGCTGGGAGGTGGGCGGGGGCCAAGAATGGGCTGGTTTTTGGCCAACGGGGCACCACTGGGGACTCCCGGCTGGGCTCTCATCTGCTGAAGCAAAAGAGACAAAATGCTAGATCTCAAGAAGGTGGGAGGTGCTTTGGTGGCCGAAGCAAAGGGGGAAGTGTTTTCAAACAGGGCCCCCCTGAGCCAGATGTCACATCATCCATGGTGGTTGCCGAAGCAAAGGGGGAAGTGTTTTCAAACTGGGCCCCCCTGAGCCAGATGTCATATCATCCGCGGTGGTTCAGCCAGATTCCTGACTGGAGCCGGTCACGGGGATCATACAACTCCCCCGTTACATTCAGCCAGATTGCTGACTGGAGCTGGTCACGGGGATCACACAACTCCCCCCTTTACATCAGCTCCACTGGCTACTGATCCATTTCCGGGCACAATTCAAAGGGCTGGTTCTTATCTATCTATCTATCTATCTATCTATCTATCTATCTATCTATCTATCTATCTATCTATCTATCTATCTATTTATCTATCCTAGCTAGCTAGCTAGCTAGCTAGCTAGCTAGCTAGCTAGCTAGCTAGCTAGCTAGCTAGCTAGCTAGCTAGCTAGCTAGCTAGCTAGCTAGCTAGCTAGCTAGCTAGCTAGCTAGCTAGCTAGCTAGCTAGCTAGCTAGCTAGCTAGCTAGCTAGCTAGCTAGCTAGCTAGCTAGCTAGCTAGCTAGCTAGCTAGCTAGCTAGCTAGCTAGCTAGCTAGCTAGCTAGCTAGCTAGCTAGCTAGCTAGCTAGCTAGCTAGCTAGCTAGCTAGCTAGCTAGCTAGCTAGCTAGCTAGCTAGCTAGCTAGCTAGCTAGCTAGCTAGCTAGCTAGGTAGCTAGGTAGGTAGCTAGGTAGGTAGGTAGGTAGGTAGGTAGGTAGGTAAAACAGACGGACGGATGGACAGATGAAAAGAGGATTATGACATCTTTGATTTCTAAATTCCCCACTTAGCTTACAAAACCACCGTTTCCAGAGTTAGCAGATCAAAGGGAATAATAATTTAACAAGTTTAGTTTCCGTAGGAGAGAGACATCTGGAATCAAGGGTGAAGTCTGTTGATGATATTTTTGCAAAGCATGGATAAAACCTGTGAAATGTATCGGACCGGATATATAAATGGGGAGATAGTAATACAGGGTGGAGAGCGCGTGGAGTCAAGTGGAGAGGCTGTCAGACTAGGACCGAAGAGATCTGGATTCAAATCCCTGCTCCGCCATGGAAGATCACTGGGGGGTGGGGGTGGCACAGTTAAAACCACCCTTTAAATATAAAAGAAAACCTTTCTAGCGTTGCTCCATTGATTTGATGGCACATCATATGCAGAAAGACACCAAATTTTGGAATCTGAGTATTTTAACCTTCCCGATAAACACCGTTGGCACCCCAACCACTCGCTGTTGGCAGCTACAAAGACACCAAATTTTGGAATCTGAGTATTTTAACCTTCCCGATAAACACCGTTGGCACCCCAACCACTCGCTGTGAAGATGGCAGCTACGATCTAAATTAGAAATACGGATTTACAGTATGGGGTTTGGGGGAGGTGATATAACTGTTCCTGTTTAAGGAAAACTCCCCAAAATTTTTGCTCAGCCCACGCCGCTGGTGGGAATCCACAGGCTCGCTTCCTGGGTCACCCTTTTGACGGGACCCAGAGTTTCCTTTAGCACCAATTGAAGGACCAAAGGCCGGTTGGAGAGAAAGATTATTATCTGCACTTGTGGGATTGATTAAAGAAGGTTTAGATAGGATTAAGGGATCATGGCGGATCTGGGGCAGATTGGCAATCATCTGAGGGAGAAACAGGAGGGACTCTGTATGTGTGTGTGTGTTTGTGTGCATAAGACTATCAGGGGGGGGAATGCATCAAACTCTCACTAAAATGGAGCCAGTGATGGGGAGAAATTTGGGCAGGTGAGGAGCAAAGATCTGTTGGTGTACCAGCTTTGCTTCACTGCTCCTCGTTGCCCTTTGGAAAGACGCTGGATTGGCGTCCTCCGAAATGCCGTCGGGCGATTCTGGCTCCATGGGACGGGGGGGGGGGGACCCCGCCGGGGGGGGGGA